TACAACATATTTGACATACATAGTTATGGCTCTCTCTCTCTATTTATATTACATAGTGATATCATTTTCTAATTCCTCTTTTTAATAAATTACTCCATTTCTAAATTTAAACTTTACATTCCATAGCACGTCAACACACAACAAATATACAATACCACACAAATTCTAATTAAATTTTGGTTTTTTTCCTTTTTGTCTTTTTTCCTTTATCTTTTTTTTTTTTTTTCGCGGGGGACTAGAATAGATAGGACTTCATGTGCCATGTTAACATTATACATTTGTTAGTTTAGATTATGCCTAATAGTATAGATATATGTGGGGTCAAAAAGATTTTTTTTAAAAAGAAAGGAAAGGGAAAAGAAAATTATGTATTACATCTGTTGTATCTTGCACAACCATTCTTTCAACATTACCCTTTCTTTTGACATTATTCCTATTTCCATCTTTAGCTGGTATACCAAATGTTCTTTGACTAAACCCAAACACGGCACCTTAGTAGATTTCCAGCCACCAATATTTTTGCCGCCGTTAAAATATGTATAACTAGTGCAGAAAATTGGCCAAAGCTTTGGCGCATATTTAAGTGCAGCAAAAAGATGCCATTGAGTGGATCTATCTTAATATTAGTCAACTCCTTTATTTTAATAGCAATCATACTCCAGAAGAGAAATATTGACCCACATTCCCACCATATATGCATTATCCTTCCACTACGAGAATCACATCTCCAGCATCTCCAGTATTTGATATTGCAGAAGGTCTTGATGGTAAGGTATGTCTTTTTGTTGATGATACTAAGATATGTAACAGGGTTGATGTTCCAGGAGGGATAAGCCGAATTGCAAATGATTTAGGTAAACTAGAAAAATGGTCAGAATTGTGGCAACTGACATTTAATGTGGATAAGTGCAAGATAATGCATCTTGGACGTAAAAACCCAAGGGCAGAGTACAGAATATTTGATAGAGTTCTAACCTCAACATCTTAGGAAAAGGATTTAGGGGTGATTATTTCTAATGACTTAAAGGTAGGCAGACGATGTAATAGAGCAGCAAGAAATGCTAGCAGAATGCTTGGTTGTATAGGGAGAGGCATTAGCAGTAGAAATAGGTTTCAAAGTGTTCATGCCATTGTACAGAACACTGGTGAGACCTTACTTGGAGTATTGTACGCAGTACTGGAGACCGTATCATCAGAAGGATATTGATACTTTAGAGAAAGTTCAGAGAAGGGCTACTAAACTGGTTCATGGATTGCAGGATAAAACTTACCTGGAAAGGTTAAAGGATCTTAACATGTATAGCTTGGAGGAAAGACGAGACAGGGGGGATCAACACAGTAAAGGAGGAGACCATATTTAAAAGAAGAAAAACTACCACAACAAGAGGACATAGTCTTAAATTAGAGGGACAAAGGTTTAAAAATAATATCAGGAAATATTACTTTACTGAGAGGGTAGTGGATGCATGGAAAATCCTTCCAGCTGAAGTGGTAGAGGTTAAAACAGTAAAGGAGTTGGGGCGGAGCCTGACCGCGACCGAAGATGGCTGCTTAGTCCGGCAGCTCTCTCTCCCCCGTGACCGCAATCCGCCACCATCAGCTACCTCGGCCGGGAAACGACCGGCGAAACAGGCGACCCAGCCCTCACAGACCCAGGCACGCTCTCCCCCATGCGAGGAGGAAAGAAAAAACAGGAGAAGACCCCCTCAGTGGCATCCATATTCTGCCCGCGGAGCGCGCCAAATCCGCCATCTTGCCGCTCAGACATGGAGGGCTCTGACAAGGAGACTACACACAACAGGTACCTGACCACAGCAGACTCCCCCTTAACTAAAAGGGACCTACAAAACCTACTGCAGGAAGCCACTGCAGAAATTAAAGCACACACAAAGGCTGAACTGAACCGCCAAATTCAGTCCCTTAAAGCTGACCTAGAGGCCCTGTCACACCGCACAGACCATGCAGAGGCCAAACTCACTAAACTGGCTGACACCACCTCCTCTCACTCCCAAGATATCACCTACCTACATGGCAAATTGGCAGCACTTGAAGAAGAAATAGAAGACCTTAATAATAGGTCCAGAAGGAATAATATCAGGGTGAGGGGACTGCCAGAAACGGTAACTAATGACCAGCTACAGGCCTCCCTCACCGACCTCTTTAACACGCTACTACCAGAGGCCACGCAGCACGACCTCGCAATGGACAGAGCACACAGGGCGCTTAGACCTCTGGCGCTGAACCCAGACACCCCTAGGGATGTAATAGTGCGGATGCACCGTTTCCCCATTAAGGAGCAATTGGTCCGACAAGCCAGACAAAACCCCCCAACTTTCCAACAGCAGACCATAGCCCTTTATCAGGACCTGGCGCCTTCGACTCTCAAGAAAAGGAGAGATCTGCGACAATTGACGAACACCCTCAACCACCACAGCATACGATACATGTGGGGACACCCCTTCAAGCTGCTGGTCCGCAGAGAAAACCAGACGCACATACTATCGAATGCGGCGGAGATGATTCCCTTCGCAGAGTCCCTAGGCCTCACGCTTCTACCTCTACAACCGAATAGACCACCTGGCCCCAGAGGGAGACGTCAGGAACCCATCAGCCATTCACCTCGACGCACACCGAGGAAAAGAGCACCCCCAAGACCACAAGACGGCAGCCCACAGCGGCACTAAGATCCTGTCAAGATTCCCGCAGAGACTCTCCCTCCCAGGACACTTTTACCGCCATTACGCTATATGGCCCTCGCTCATATCCTTTTTTTTTTGTACTACTGTGCTCTTTTAATATGCTTTCTGTTGTTTTTCTTTGCATCTTAAACCCTTATCTTGTTTGACAAACCTGGGGCACGAGGGGGGGGGGCAGAAAAGAGGGAAAAGAGACGGGTAAGAGAAAGGGGGGGGGAGAAAGTGGAGAAAAAAAAAAAAGAGAGAGGAAAAGCGGGGGAAAGAGATTGGGAAAGGGACGTAGAGGACTCCCCCAGGCCTACGTTTAACCAGGGCACCTAACCCACCCCGGACCGTCGTTACATCTCCAATGACATATTTTAAAGCAACAACCAAAGCAGAAATAGGGAAGGGGGGGGGGAGGGAATAAATCAACAAAGGGAAAAAAAAAAAGAAAAGAACAGGAAAGGGAAAAAGAGAAAGGCCTATACCCCAAAGAGGCACAGTTGCTTAGACACAACAGGAGGGGAACAGACGAGGCCGTAGGGGGAGGGCCAAGGGGAGGGGGACAGCGATAGGCCACGACCATAGCAGTCACCCCGGGCGGGAGTGGGAGCTTTTCAGCAACATGGTCCATATAGGGCCCTATAGGGAAATAGAAGACGAGACCCCCCGAGCTCCCTCCCCCCGACGACGACAGCATGGACGACAGGCCCCACCTCGGTTCACGAACGATGCCCGCCCACCCCCCCAGACAAACACCCCCTCCCGCAAGGACACAATGGAAGATAGGTGACTATTAGACTACACCTGAGGAGACAAGGGAGCACTTCCCACCTTTTGAGAGACACTCTGCACATCGCTTCAAATAACCTAAACATGAGGGGTATTAAATCTTCTTTTTTTTTTCTTGTTTGTATATAGTTCCGAACTCGCCCAGACGGACACTCCACAAGCCCTCGACAGAGAGCCAAAGTACATCAGACAAAACTCCAGGTACACAAGGTAACACATCACGGGGGGGGGGAGAGAAGTGGACGTGACCATCCTTCCTCTTCTCTTCTCACCCCTCACACACACCACACGATACCCACCCCCAGAAGGGTGAATCGAATCACATCCTCAACCCCCATATCACCCTCCCGCCCACCAAGCTTGGCACGCACATCGTAAGACCAAGCCCATTTAGTACCCTCCCCCCACACCCCCCCCTGACCCCCCCCGACCCCGCACGCCGAGAGCAAAAGCCGTAGCGATACAATGCCAACTGCCACACTAACCTGTGTCTCGATTAACTGCAAGGGCCTGAACAGCCCGAACAAACGGCATCGAGTCCTTCGATGGGCCACCAGAACTAAGGCAGACGTCCTCCTCCTGCAGGAGACGCACTTTGAGCAAAGCAGGCCCTTCCCGCTACGTAACAGACACTACACAGAGTGCCATCAGGCAAACTCACCCCAAGGAAAGCATAACGGGGTGGCCATCCTCATTCGCAAAACCTGCCCCATACAATTCTCCAACGCAGCCTCAGACCCCCAAGGGCGGTTCCTCACTGTAACGGGCCACCTAGGCCCAAATAAATACGCAATCACATCGGTATACGCCCCAACGGCACCACACGCACACTTCTGGACAGCCCTACAGGCCCACCTGGCACTATTCCCTGCCCACCACAAGGTGGTGGGGGGCGATTTTAACGCGGTGCTTTCACCGTCCAGTGACAGACGCAGAACTCAAAACCGGGGACTGCCACCCCCACCAGAGGCAAAAACAGACAAATTACTCAATTCTTTCTTAACAAGCACAAATCTAGTAGACATGTGGAGAACACAACATCCACAAACATTGGACTACACGTTCTTTTCCCATCCACACAAGTCCTACTCACGTATAGACATGTTCCTGACCTCCCCATCCCTAATGCAACACACAGACAGGATAGAGATAGGACAAATCACGTGGTCAGACCATGCGGACATTACCATAACTATACAGCTTCCAAACACGACCAAACAATGGGCTTGGCGGCTAAACCCTACGCTACTCCACATTCCACACATCAAAGACACAATTGACGCAGCAATAAAAGACTTCTTTACCAATAATACAGGCTCGGTAACCTCGGTAGGCACATTATGGGCAGCACACAAAGCTGTCATTAGAGGCAGCCTTATCTCAGCGGCCTCGGCCCACAAAAAGGAGAAACTATCTAGACTACACCAACACCTCACCGCACTCCGCAAGGCGGAACACGCGCATAAACAAAACCCCACCCCCGTCTTACAACAACAGCTACAGGTGCACAAACAAGCGATCCAGGAGTTTATGGCCCAAGACTCGAAAAAAGCACTGCTCTGGACAAGGCAGATGTTTTACGAGAAATCCAACAAAGCAGACTCACTCCTAGCCAACAGACTTAAAAAGAAAAGACAACGGAACCGAATAACCTCGATTAATACACCGGACGGCCAAACACAAAACCTCCCCGAACAGATAGCAGAAACCTTTACTCAATTTTATACCTCCCTTTATGACCATGACCCCCAATCTCGACACGACGCACAAGACAGAGGTAGCCATAACACGATACTTACAAAGCATACCGCTACCGCAACTCACTGATGAAGCACGAGAGTCATTAGCAGCAGAAGTTACAATCGAGGAGGTGGCAGAGACGATTAAGGCTCTACAACCTAACAAATGCCCGGGCCCCGACGGCTACTCGGGATTATATTACAAAACATTCTCTGCAACCTTAATCCCACATCTTAGCGAGCTCTACACATCGATCCTCAAAGGAGAACCGCTCCCAGCGGAAATGCTCCAAGCTAATATTAGCCTAATACCAAAACCGAATAAATCCCTACAAGAACCAGGACACTACCGTCCCATCTCACTCCTAAACGTAGACGTTAAATTATTTACCAAGCTTATTGCGAACAGACTTAAACATTTTCTCCCGAAACTGATCCACCCAGACCAAGTAGGCTTCATTCCCAACAGACAGGCCTACGACAACACAAGACGCACCTATGACCTAATCTGGACGGCCAACCGCAGACGGATCCCGACGCTACTACTATCCCTAGACGCCGAAAAGGCATTTGACAGGATCCTCTGGCCATATTTATTTGCTGTCCTGACGAGGTTCGGCTTCCCCAGGGCCCTATTACAGGCAATTCGCACCCTCTACACCAACCCGACAGCACGACTACTAATACCAAATGCCCGCCAAGCCCCGTTCCACATACGTAACGGCACCCGGCAGGGGTGCCCCCTGTCCCCCCTCCTCTTTGCCCTCTCCCTTGAACCCCTCTTGCAACAGATCCGCACTACACCCGCCATACAAGGCATAAAAATAAGAAGGGAAGAATACAAAGTGGCAGCATATGCTGACGACTTGCTTCTAACCCTGACTGACCCAGGGACTTCCCTACCCCCACTGTTAGACTTACTAGAGGCATACGCCAAAATCTCAGGGTACAAACTCAACATAGAGAAAACTGAAGCCCTAACAATCCAAACCCCACCCCACACGCGAACACTACTGCAACAAAACTACCCGTTTCGCTTCCAAACGCAAAGTATCCGTTATCTAGGAACAGAGATACCAGCAGACCTACATTCCACATACAGGCTAAACTACCCCCCATTAATCGACCAGGCCCTGAGAGACCTGCAAACCTGGCAAAAATTATCCATCTCATGGCTTGGGAGGCTGGCATAGATTAAAATGAACTTACTGCCACGTTTTCTCTATCTCTTCCAGACCCTCCCCATCCCACTCTCACGAGCAGACTTCAAAAATCTCCAAATGCACATTGATAAATTTATTTGGGCGGGGAAAAGAGCTAGAGTAAAACGAATTACCCTGTATATCCCACACAAAAAAGGGGGACTAGGCCTGCCAAATTTCTGGGACTACCACCAAGCATCCCAACTTGCACAAATCCAATCCATGCACGCCCCCCCAGGGGTCAAGCGCTGGGTGGACCTGGAACACGACCTATTCGGACGAGATCTGCCAACACTCTACCTATGGATACCAAAAACACACAGACCACAACAGCCCAACACGACACCAGCCCTCACGACAGCCATCCACATCTGGAACAGGGCGACCGACAAATACAACCTCATAAATACTCCCTCACCCCTTATGCCTGTGCTGAGGAACCCTCAATTCACCCCGGGAATGACGCCCCAACATTTCATCAGGTACGAGGACAACGACCTTACGAGAATCTGTCATTTTTATAGGAACGACCGCCTTATCCCCTTCCCAGAATTGCCAAACGCCACACCATATAACACGTTTGACCACTTTAGATACCTCCAACTCCGAAGCTTCCTGTCAACCCCTACCATAGCCGCTGCGGCGGTGTTGAAACCCACTGCTTTCGAAAGGGACTGCCTGAGCAACCCAATACACAAGGGCCAAATCTCCAACCTATATAACCTCATAACACTTAAAACCCCACCTGACGCCCTCTCCTACGTAAAGGCCTGGGAAAGGGATCTTGGTCCCCCGGGGGACCCCTCGGACTGGGCTGACATATGGGAAGCAACAGCGACAGTGACTATCTGTGTTAACCACAGAGAGCAGGCGTATAAGACCCTGCTCCGGTGGTACCTCACCCCCCTGAGACTCAAACAAATGAAACGCACAGACTCGGACAGATGCTGGAAGGGATGTGGCGAAAAGGGAACATACATTCACGTGTGGTGGCATTGTCAACACTTAACTCAAATATGGAAAGAGATGGCCGCTGCCACTTCGAGAGCATTACAAACGGACATCCCCCTAGACCCATGGACCTGGCTGCTGTCCAGGCCCCTAGAAAACCTGACCCGAGCACAAAACAAACTAGTAGCAAAGGTGGCCCTAGCAACGCGTAGAACTATAGCCACCCACTGGGGCAGCCCAGAAATCCCAACAGCCTCGGAGGCCCAGAGAAAGATTAAAGAGGCCATGGAGATGGACGAACTGTCCGCACTCATTCATGAGAACACTAGATCTTTCCATAAGATCTGGGACCCCTGGTTGGCATTGTAAGACTTCGCGAGCGGGGAAGGGGGGGGGGGAGAACAGCCCCCCCCCTTTACCACAATCCACCCCTACCCTACACCCGCCCACAACACACATCAAAGCACCACAACCAGCAGAAAACAATTGCACAAACCTGCAAACATCACGACTACAAGCAACCACCTGAACCAACTCAGGTGAACCCCACAAGCTCAACCACACAAACACATCAAACTGATATTACGACACAAGGACACTCTCCAAGTTCTAAACCCCTAAACCCCCGACCCCAGAGGCACCACCTCACCCCCAGAGGACAGAGACAGGGCAACGCAACGGACAGAGTACGACAACGACTCCTCACAAAGCCCACGCCCTAAGCGAAAACCAGGTTTGAGCCTCACAGCGTATCACCAAAACCCATCGCCTAGGGCCTACTCCCTAAACTCAGGGCACACGGTGGTTAAGCCTAACAGAGGGGACACCCCCATCCATCTTACACACCCGACCCTTCCAGACCCATAGCAAGGGGAGTTACATGTTGGACAACTGAAACAACGAATGTAAACAGGGAAAGAGTAATGAGTACAAATGTAACCGATTTAACTGTAACATGTTGCACCCCTTTTTCCTTTCTGTACCCCGTTTTGTTTAAAAAAAAACAAAAAACAATAACTTCTTTTGAAGATCCAAAAATAAAGAATTTATAAAAAACAAAATCAAACAAAAAAAGAAAGAAAATTTTAAAAGAAATAAAAATGGGCAAAAAGGCTTACTTAGCACATCATGGAAAAGGTGATAAAAATATCACCGATGTTTAAAAAGGTAGAGTAAAAGTTTTATTAATAAGAAAATGGCACATACTCACAAGATTGGCACAAACATTTGAGTTATAAATAACACCCAATGTATTAGGATCTTTGTAAGGTAAACTGAGCCATTTATTTTAAAGAGATGATAAACTGCACATTTTATACCAAATAAAAGCTGGAAACAGATCAAATAAAAAAATAAGACTGTGAGACTTTGGACTTTTTATATATATATTTTTTTTTATATGGTTATTGTTTAGAATAAATATTGTATGTTTTTTTCATCTACGTTATTGGCATTATCCCTGCTACTTTTTTAAAGAAGGTGTGTGGTCCTTAACCACACAAGCTCTCAGATCAGAGCCGATTTGGATGGCTCAAAGTTTGTAAGTACCCCATCTTAGTTACCATTTACACATAAGATCAATGGTACTGCACCATATTCGTTTTCTTCCATTCTAATAGAATACAAGAAGTGTGAGGGTCGCCTTTATTGGACCCCAAGAGCGCTAAGATTGAGCTATGATACATTAGCTCCTAAAAGTGTGAGTGGGAATTTATCCCTTCCTTTTTTATAATTTAACTGCATTATACAGTATACACCATGTTTGGTTTGTCTGTTTTATAGAAACTAAAAACTGGGAAGATTTATTTAAGGACTTTTTGAGGTACTGCCTTTTATACACTCTCTTTTTATCCCCATTATTATGCCTATTTAAATATATCGCTACACCTATCCAGTTTTTCAAGTTACTATTTCTAAAGATATCTAGGTGTTATAGCGGCTTCACTTATTTAAAATACTTCTCATTTAGAGTGTTATATTATTTTGGAATTTCAGCGCTGGTACACCCGTTATATATATATATATATATATATATATATATATATATATATATATATATATATATATATATATATATATATATATATATATATATATATATATATTTCCTGTGAGATAGTTGTTATTTAATGTGGTTGTTTTATGTTTTGTATTTATGATTTTGTCATTTGTGCAACTAAGATGACTGTCTTATGTTTAAGTGTTTGTATACTGTTAAAACTAATAAAGATTGAAAATTAATCTTTCCTAATTTGTCTAGTATGGACTACACTTTGCATTTCACTCAGATTCCCAAATTTTAAAGTTCAATTAATTTGTCAGGTAGATGTCTCCAGATAATTTTTCCATGTACTTGTATCACAAATGTAAGCCTGAAGATTACTGGAAAGTCCTCCAAATTGTAACGTTAAATAATGGAATTTAATGTATTGAGTAAATTCAGCATTCTAGCAAAACGATTGTGAATGGACTTGGAAATTGAATCTTACAAATTATTTTCCAGTGATATTTGACAAATTTTCAAAAGAACAAAAGGGGAACAGAAAATGAAAAGGGTGTTGAAAGGGGAAAATGTCCATCCATAAATGTATAATCAAACAATACAATTAGAGGACTATATAAGTAATAAATATGCATGGAGTAATTTGTAAAAGGTGTAACAATACTTAGTCAATTACATACTTATTTACCGGTTTAAAATTATAAGTCACTTCTAGGTCTAACAAAATTCTGAATTGGAAAAATAAAGTTAAATAAGCAATATCATAAAAAAAATAATAATAATAAAAAAAAAAAAGCAGACGTATTGAAGAAGTGTTCTACATATACATAAAAATATATATTATTATTATTTATATAGCGCCATCAGATTCCATAGCGCTGTA